AGCGGGCCGGCGGGGCATGAGCGCCCAGAGGCGCCTTCCGCTCGGCCCGCCGCGCGGGAACATTACCGGGATTTCTGCAACACCTTTGCATTTAGGATGCCGAGCTGACACTTAATCCTCAAGGAATTCTAGAGCCAACAAACTCCCTTTCTTTGCGTTCTGTCCCCTACGCGGAAACTCTCACAGTTTTCCTTTTGAGTATATTTTAAGGAAGAAATGTGTATTCACTACAGCATATTTACTCCCTCTCTCTGAAATCAATAAAAACATATTTTTTTAAAAAATCAAAAGCTACTCCTCCTATATGCAGGGTGTTATATAATTTGGCGCAACGAAGTTTGGTTTCCTCCCAACAGATTGCTGAACTACAAGTGTCAAAAGTCAATGTGAACTCCAATTAATAAGGCTAGTTCATTGCGCCTTTAACAAAATAAGTTATTGTTAATGCCACTGTCTCTTTTCTGAGTACAGATAAGCAGGCCTTAGGTAGTAGAATAGAACTTTATGAATAAGCTCATTATGTAACCCATACCCCAAGCTTACAGCTACTTCAGCTCCTTAGTAGTCAAGAACTTGAAAGTGCTTGAGATGATACACAATCTTTTCCCCTTTTCATTGAAGCTTTGAGAACAGTTTGTCTCACAGAAAATTAAGCAAGAGGTACAGAGATTTCCCATATGCTCCCTGCCCCCACACATGCATAGCATCCCCCATTATCATCTCCCACCAGTGATACATTTGTTACAGTTGATGAACCTACGCTGACATATCAAAATCACCTAAAGAACATAGGTTTCTCTCGTGGTGTTATACAAATGTATGACAGGTATCCATCATTATGGCATGATACAAAATATTTTTACTGCCCTAAAAATTGTCTGTGCTCTGCCTGTTCATCTCCCTTCCCCACCATTACCACCCAAACCCTGGTATTTGTATTGTCTCCATAGTTTTGTCTTTTCTAGATGTCATGTAGTTGGAATCATACAGTATGTAGCCTTTTCAGGCTATTCTCAGTAATATACATTTAAAATTCCTCCATGTCTTTTCATGATTTAATAGTTCAGTTCTTTTTAGCAGTGAATAATATTCCAATGTCTAGATGTACCACAGTTTACTTATCTGTTCATCTATTGAAGGACATCTTGGTTCCCTCCAACTTTTGGCAATTATGAATAAAGCTGTTATAAACATCCATGTGCAGGTTTTGGGATGGACATAAAGGTTTTAGCTCCTTTGGGCAAATATCAAGGAGCAAGACTGCTTTTATCATATGGTAAGAGTATGTCTTCCAAAAAAGCTGTCTTCCAAAGTGACTAGCATTTTGTATTCCCATCAGCAATGAATGAGGGTTCCTACTCCTCCACATCCTCACCAGCATTTCATGGTGTCAGTGTCCCAGATTTTGGACCTTGTAATAGGTGTGCAGTGGCATCAGTGGCATTTCACTGCTGTTTTAATTTGCATTTTCCTAATGACATATGACATAGGACATCTNGAAAAGCTGTCTTATGAAAAGCTGTCTTCCAAAGTGACTAGCATTTTGTATTCCCATCAGCAATGAATGAGGGTTCCTACTCCTCCACATCCTCACCAGCATTTCATGGTGTCAGTGTCCCAGATTTTGGACCTTGTAATAGGTGTGCAGTGGCATCAGTGGCATTTCACTGCTGTTTTAATTTGCATTTTCCTAATGACATATGACATAGGACATCTTTTCACATGCTAAATTGCCATCTTTATATCTTCTTTCTCAAGGTGTCTGTTAAGGCCTTTGGCCCACTTTTAAATCAGATTGTTGAGTTTTAAGAATTCTTTGTATATTTTGCCTTGTGGTGCTTTGTCAAATGTTTTTCCAAATATTTTCTCTCAGTTTGTGATTTGTCTTCACATTCTTGTGACACTGTCCTTCACAGAGCAGAAGTTTTTAATTTTAATGTTAATAAGCTTATCAATTATTCCTTTCATGGGTCATGATTTTGGTGTTGTATCCAAAAGGTCATCAATTTACCCAAGGTCATCTAGGTTTTGTTCCCACGTTATCTTCTAGGAGTTTATAGTTTTGCATTTTACATGTAGATCTGTGATCCATTTTGCGTTATTTTTTGTGAAGGGTATATATATGGTTTGTATCTAGGTTATTATTTTTTTTTATGTTGATGTCCAGTTGTTCTAGCACCATCTATTGAAAAGATTCCATTGTAGCAATATAAAACTTTAAACTCCTAAGTGCTAGAGAAAACAACAAAAAAAGGAAACTGAAAATCATCAACCAGTGGGAAGAGATAATCACGATCATTACAGAAAAATTACAAGAAGCTATATTTGCTTTTGATAAAAGATAGAGGGAATATTTGCTGTAGTGGAGACTTCTACATTAAATGATTTTTTTCCTGGTTTGTTTGCATGAAACATCTTCATAATAAAATTAAGTGTGCCAGGGCAACTTTAATTATCTTAGAGCAAAGTTAATTTATTCATAAACTTGAGGGGCAGAAAAGCACAGTGCTGAGAAAATGAGTTCTAGAATGTCTGGTTCCAAAACCTCATTCTGATAATGTGATCGTAGCTGAGTTACTTAGGCTCTGTGCTTTGATCCTAACCCAAAGACAAGCTTTTATTGATTTTGAGAAAGAGAGAGAGGAAGGGGTTGAGGTAGACAGAGAGACAGACAGAAGCATCCATGCAGGAGAGAAACATCCACAGGCTGCCCCGGCACCCCCACTCGCCCTAACCAGGGCGCGAACCCGCAACCTAGGCACGTGCACGTCACCTTTTTTTCGGGGTACGGGACCAGGCTCCGGCCACCTGAGCCGCTCGCCAGGTCTGGCTCTCCGGCTTTAAAGACCTCAGCTATTAAGTGACTGATAAGAATTAAATAAGGAGCACTGTTTGGAGAGTGCTTTGATTGAACCACTCAAGCTGCCTTCAGTATCGAATGAAGCCCCGCGGCCTCTGCTTGCTCATGTCCTCCAGCCAGTGCGGTTAATATATACAACCCCGCACAGAACTGACGGAGGTGCACCTCCCTGCTCTGCTGTGCGTCCCTGCGTGAAGCACCTGGAGGACAGGATGCTGAGGCAGTTCGACATCCCCAGCACCGGGGGCACAATGCCTGACCCAAATTAAGAATCCAGTCTCTGCAGGACTGGGCGACCGACTGGGCGGCCTTGAAACCGCTCCCTCTGCTATGTGCTGGGAATGGAACGATGAACGAGAAACCGTCCGCTTCCTCTCAGGAACGAGAGACAAGGCGAGGCAGCAGCCCCTGCCCGCGGCGGGAGATCCCTCAACCACAGGCACCTTCACGGCAACGGGCCGCACAGTCAAACGGGCAGCGAGGCACAAACAGAAAAGCCTGCCCGTCAGAAATACAGTGTGATGTTGGGTCCGATGCAAACTGTTTGACAACCAGCGCCCCGTTCCTGGCCACGCTCAGAAGTTGCTGGGGGCACCAAAGAAATCGACGCGCAGACTCTCACGCCGCTGCGACGGCACCTGCGAAGCTCGAGACCCCGAGACCCCGCGCGCGCAGAGCCCACCGGAAGCCAGGGACCTGCGCGGCCGCACCGCCGGC